ATTGCATCGCATTAATTGTACATATAGAAATGCCCACACAGAGTCACTTGGTTTTAAAAAGTTTACACAAGTGAAGTAACAGATTCTGTGGACAACACTATTTCTTTCTTCATTTCTCTCTCAGCTACCAGGTCTGGGTGAAGTGATGCATGTTTAGAAAAACATGTTCCTAGCAAAACACCTTATAGCACAATTTTCCTCTCTGGGGATAAGAGAAGAGAGAAAGCAAGCTGTGCCTGGCAAATGGTAATCACGTTGCTGAACGCACACTAGATGTTTGGATACCATGGTGATGAGGGGACTATGAAAATCTACATCGGGCACATCGACACGTCGACACGTGCTAGTAGCAGACAGCAACGAACTTCACTGCACATCACACCAGAGTTTATTGTTCTTAGATGCCACGTTTGAACGTGCGCCCAGGACCACAGCACACTGAGCCAGGTTGGAGCAGCCCAGTGGTGAGCGGGCCAACCCAGGGCTGCTCTGACCCAGCTCCACGTGCCGAGGAGGGGCACAAAGCTTCTCCAGCACAGGGCTAGCTGGCAGGCAGCACCCACACTGAAGCACCCTCATGCTCCAGCCAGCCAGGTCAGCAACAAATTCTGTAGCAGGGTAGTTCTCGTGTATACATGTAGGGTTGCACGTGTAAACACCACGACATTTACTGCAGATCTCATCAGGCAACTCTGTAATAAACATCTCGTGTCGACACACCTATCGAGTGGAAGAGTAGGGCTGTGGCGGTGAGCGGAGGCAGAGCCAGCCGTGGCACTGGAGTAGGCGTACAAATGAAAAAATGATAGCTGCCGCCACAGCCACATCACCAACACCGCAGCCAGAAGTCACTGCTGCGTCAGGCCCGCAGCGGCCCCGCTACCCCTCTGGCAAGCAGGCGCCGTAAGGACAGGAACAGGAGACAGCAAAGCATCCGGGTGTGCCGCGGTCTGCCCCGTCTCACACCGCGCTTTATCCTGCAGGGGCCATCCTGACTCTGAGCTTTGCCCTCAGCTCTCCGGTCTTCAACTCGTACTCTCCAGGAAAACAGCCGGCATTTTACCACAGGAATTAGGCTTTGTGCATTAACGAAATGCAACCTTCACCCGCCGGGGCGTTTTGGCTCCTCTTTCTTCTCAAGACCACCACCGCCACAAACACGGGCAGGCCAGGCCGAGCAAGGACGCGATTAACAACGGTCGAGAAACGTGTCAGTAAACGCGCGCAAGTGAAAAAGGCAAGCCACGGCGAGCGTTTTCTTTTACGGTTCCAGGCAACTGGCGCCACACCTTCCCTGAGCGCCGCCTTCCTTTCTGTCATTTTGATTGCACCACAGTTTTGTATCGGGCTTTCCTTGGTAACCCTGCCTTTGAGGACACAGGTACACGTGGTACTGCAACCACTGCGGGTAGTGGGGGAGCTTTACTTATTACTTTCAAGATTTACAACGGAGGAGAATTACAACCGTCTTCCACTGGAGCAAATGCCGCATTTCCCGCATCACGAGCCATGCCGTCTGCCCCCAGGCCCCTCCGCCCCACATCCGGGGCACCCGCCCGGGCCCGGGCCCCCGGACAAGAGGAGCAGCGCGCCGGTTAACCACTGCGGGTAGTGGGGGAGCTTTACTTATTACTTTCAAGATTTACAACGGAGGAGAATTACAACCGTCTTCCACTGGAGCAAATGCCGCATTTCCCGCATCACGAGCCATGCCGTCTGCCCCCAGGCCCCTCCGCCCCACATCCGGGGCACCCGCCCGGGCCCGGGCCCCCGGACAAGAGGAGCAGCGCGCCGGTTGAAAGCGGCCCGACCCATTGCAGGGGCGGGGCGGGGCGGGGCGGGGGCGGGTGCCCCGGATGTGGGGCGGGGCGGCCACCGACCCAGACTCGCAGACATTAAAGCGACCTTTAAAAACTGCACCCCAGGCGGACTTCGCAACCCGGCCCCGCCCCGCGCCGCCTGCCGGGCATTGGAGGTGCACCAATCAGCACGCAGAGGAAGAAGGA